AAATGTTAGTTGCCACGTCTCGACGAGGATGCGAATAATTTTTCCCGGTAATGCAAGAGAAATTCTTCGTTGCATTCGTTAGCGCGTGGTTTTCCGCGAGAGTTATGCGGGGATCATTAAACAGATCATAAAAAAAAAGCAAGAGCAAAGGATATGCGAGTTTAAGAATGGGTTTACCTGCACGCTACATACCGCGATTTGTAAATACAAGCACATCCTGCGTTTATAATATACTAGTTCACGTGTTCCACGTTCGTCTTACGTAGCTTCGAGCGGACACAACATGGAGGCTGGAAATATATCACTCGTTATCGATAAACGTCGCGGAGAGGTATGCCTTTCATGTATTCATTGCAACAGCTCCATATTCAGAAATGATATGTACACTCGGATGCAATGTAGACTTTCGATGTCGACACGTAGAATCTGTGTAGATTTTACTAATTTCTAAATTGTCAAATTATCAGATCTCAAAATTTCTAAATCGTCAATTCCCTAAAACACAAAATTTCTAAAGCACCAATTAATCTACCAATTTTTAATTTACCAAATCCCTAGATCCTCGAATTTCTAACACGTCGAATCCTTAGATCCCCAAATTTATAACCCATTAAATCCCCAAATCCCTATATCTCCAAATTCCCACATCCCCAAATTCTCAACAAACTCTCAAGCACTCGAAATCTTAAAAATTCCCTAAAAATCGTGTACCAAGATTTGCCAACGACTGTACAAGATATGAAAGCTAATCCAATGTGTACGATTTAATTGATCGTAACATCGAATGGAGGTGTTCGAGTTCAACTGGCAAATTAATCGCAGTTTCCGTGGATACTTCGAAACGGAAATTGGCCCGCTAATGCCTACTACCGGTTTGATTTATTATATCGTTCGATTTCTTTAACAAGAAACCCAGCATTAGCCTCGTTGAAATTAACGCTAAGATGCAAGGTAACAATTTTATTCGATTTCTTCTATTTCTACCACGTTCTCGCTCTCGTTGTACCGGAATACGATTTAATTTCCTGGTAACACCTAGGCTCTCTCGATAACAGAGACCGAACGAAGCATAAATTGCTGTCTATCCAGCACGGATTTGACTGCGAGTAACTGATTGCCATTTTCGACACGCCCCGAAACAGAATTGGCAGGCACAATCCACGTAATCCGAGGAAAGAAGGTCAGAGAAGCAGCGATACATCTGACCACGAAGGAGGATCGACACGAGGAGCTGACCACGGAATTGTGGTAAATGGACGGATGAACCAAAGCCAGACAATGGAGTCTCCGTATTTATTGCAATTACTGACACGACACTGCAGAATAATACTACGTACATTATTAAAATTTTTGTTTGACAAGAAAATTAGATACATCTAAGACCATTCAGTAAGAACTCGAACATTGAAACTTTTTGGAGTTGCAATTTGTAAGGTAAGATTTGGAGATTTTGCATCTTTTCTGTGACAGAAACTTGGAACGTTAGAATTTTGAAAGATTGTTATTTGCACAATTTTTTAAGTGTTACAGATTTTGGAATGTTGGAGATTTGGAAGCATAGAAATTTGGTATTTTTAGAGGATTTTTGGAATCTTGAGATTTTGGGGGGTTGAAAGATTATTTTAGAATTTGGGAAGGTTGGGGATTTGGAATCATATATATTTGGTATTTTTAGAGGATTCTTGAAATCTTAAGATTTTGGGGGGTTGAAAAATTATTTTAGAGTTTGGGAAAGTTAGGGATTTGGAACCACAGGAATTTGGAATTTGTAGAGGTTTCTTGAACTTATGAGAGTTTGAAGAATTTTAGAATTTGAGAAGATTAGGTTAGGTTAGGAAGGTTAGGTTAAGAATTTGGACCCATAAGAATTTGAAATTTGTAGAGGTTTCTTGAACTTGTGAAATTTTGAAGAATTGTTGTTTTAGAAATTGAGATTAGGTTAGGTTAGGAAGGTTAGGTTAGGGATATTGTACCATAGAAATTTAGACCTTAAATTTAGAACTTTAGACACTGCAATCTTTAGACCTTAACAAATTAGAATTTTAGAAATCAGTTTGAAATTTAGTACTTTGAAACCTCTTTCTCGAATTCGAAATTTCTCTCGATAAACATCATCGTGATCTCCAAACAGCGTATAACCATACGACAGAAATTCCACTGAATCGAGTTACACACGCCTAAATGTAGGGTTAAGTTCCAATCTACACGCAACCGGAAACACGAGTGTTTCATCGAACAATGCTTTCGACAAAAAAAAGAGCGCAACAATAGAAAACAATAATAAGCGGTGTGTGCAATATACATTCACGCAAAGGAAGCTTTGGTCAGTGTTTTCATATTACATCTTCCAATGCATCAATTTTAATGATCACTGCATTTTCACGTTGCTTTATAACTTTCACCTTTGCATATTATTTTTATAAAATATTTTCAAATCATTTTCATGAACTCAGCAAGACACAGTTTTCTTTAAAGAGTATTAAAATCTTTCTTCCTGTATAATTGATAATAAATATACTTATCTAATAAAATTTTAAATATTGATTTGAGATGGTAATATAATCAAATATTTTCATAAATAACATTTTCATAAACTCAACAGAACACAGTTTTCTTCAAAGAGTATTAAAATCTTTCTTTCTGTATAATTGATAATAAATATATTTATCTAATAAAATTTCAAATATTGATGTGAGACGATAATATAATCTGAGATGATCATATAATGGTTTATTACAAAAATTAGCTAACAATAAGTGCAAAGTTCATTCGTCAAAAAAATTATTAGAATATCGTCACAAAATTGTTTAGAAACACCAACAAAATTTATTATACTAAATATTGTATCATAGTTTATGTACCACTGTACCATAATAACACTAAGTGCAAACTTCGTGCACCATAAAAATTATTAAAATATCGTCACAAAAGTGTTTGGAGACTCCAATACAAATTATTATACTAAATGCTGTACCATAGTTTATGTACTACTGTACCACAATAACAATAACTGCAAAGTTCATGCATCATAAAAATTACTCGAATCCTCAATCGTCGAATCTAAAAACCTTCACAAAAGTGTTTAGAGACTCCAACAGAATTTTTAGAATTATGCTAAATATTGTACCATAGTTTATGTACCACTGTCCCACTACTTTCAACTCGTAACCGAATAAAGTAAGGACACACGTGTCCTCGCCGGTCAAGAACGCGTATTTTCTGCAATTTGTCTGCCACCATTGAAGAAACACGGCTCTTTTATGTAGTCCAACGACAAAGGCTGTTTCATACAATGGTACACGCGACGTGAAAGCAGCGTGAAAACGATTTGAGCATGTACTAGTATGGTACACGTGTGTTTGTTCACGTGTGTGTGTGGCCTAAGATCTGATTTTATACATCTGGTGCACTCGAATAGAAATTAATCCTTTTTCTTAGTGGAACTGATACATGCTTGTGTTCTGTTGGTGATTGAATTTGGATTATTCGGTTTGTTAATATTGGAAATGGAGGAGTTTGGGAAGGTAGGGAAATGTAGGAATGAGGGACACATTCCTATGAATGTGTAGGAGCGTTGAAATACATATAAGGGTAGAAGCATGTGGGGAAGTGTGAAATTTGTCAGAGTGTGGGGTACAGAAATTGTAAGAATTTGGAGATGTAGAAATTTGGAAATGTAAAAATGTGGAAATTTGGGAATTTGGAAACGTGGAAATTTGGAAATGTAGAAATTGGAAAATGTAGGAATTTGGAAAGGTAAAAATTTGGAAATGTAAAAATGTGGAAATTTAGGAATTTGGAAACGTGGAAATTTGGAAATGTAGAAATTGGAAAGTGTAGGAATTTGGAAAAGTAGAAATTTGGAAATGTAAAAATGTGGAAATTTAGGAATTTGGAAACGTGGAAATTGGGAAATGTAGGAATTTGGAAACGTGGAAATTTGGAAATGTAGGAATTTGGAAACGTGGAAATTTGGAAATGTAGAAATTGGGAAACATGGAAATTTGAAAACGTAGAAATTTAGAAATATAGAAATTTGAAAATATAAAATTTTAGAAATATAGAAATCTGAAAATATAAAAATTTCCAAACTTCCACATATCCCATTAAACATCCTCAACCAAATCTCAATACAAATCGAATACCCACATCAAGAACTACGCCGCATTCAGTTTCCTACAAAAAGTAAATACGTGACTATCTGACAAAAAAGTAAAAAAGAACGTGGGGCAAACATGTATCTAATTTACACAAATCAGTGCGTAGTATACACTGTCGATATTTAACGCAGTACCGTTATGGACAGAAATTATCATTCCATAAGCCTATAAATATTATCGAGGTGATGCTCCAAACTGGTTTGAAAGGTATTCAGTGTGGGACACAAAACATGGCCGTGGTCCAACACAACGCCACGATTAACCGGTTCTGTGTGATTACAGACAACTGGGTGTACAATCAATGGTTACAGCATACAAATTAAGATATTGTTAAAAATAATAAACTGTTGTTAAAAATTTTCTAAAAATATCTATAGTCATAAATATTAAGCAATTTCTACATTTAATAATAAAAGTGTACTTACATAGAATACTTACCAAATATATTTTTTTTAAATAGTTAAAATAGGATAAATTTGTTAATAAATATATTTTTCTTTTTTCACTGTTGAATAATAATAAATAAACTTTGATATTGCAATAAAACAATCAAGTCTTTTACCCTCATAAATATTTTGTTTTATGCAATATTTTACGTTCATATTTTATGTTCATTTCGCATGAAGTTTATGTCCGCAGTAAAAATTCTAATTACGCTAATGATGGTCATACTAAATGAAAATGTACGTTCCTTTCGTCTTCAGAAAGTATGATCAATTTAAGTGCTTATATAGACACAGTGGAGGCGCCACTGGCTAATGGTATGGTTTTTAAATAGAATGGGATACAAGGATGAATGCGTCATTGATGATACCATAAATGCACGAGTATGAGAGTACAGCTGTGTAGCGTACTTCATTGTAGTGAAGCATCGTGAAACGTGATCAGCTGTCTGCTACATTTGTTGAACTATTGTACATAATCTTTGTTACTTAAAAGTATTTGATAAGTTATTCAATCGAGTGAATTAAAGATTCTTTGTGTTAGAATCATATTTTTATTAAAACTATTACAAAATGGTAAGTAAAGAAGACTTTGGTTTATTGAGGTTATATTCAACGTCAGCGATTCCAAATAAGGAATGCTAAGTTATGCAAGAAAATAGATATGAAACTAATAAAAATGTATGTGTAATAGTTTAAGTATTTTACAAGTAATAAGGAAAACCGCAATAAAATACAATTTGAATGCAAGTTTTACTACATGAATTTGTATAACCTATATGTTTTTGGAACAGCAAGATCCAAATGAGGATACACAGTGGAATGACATCCTTAGGAGCAAAGGAATTATACCGCCAAAAGAGAAGGAAGTTACGGAAGACCAGCTAGTGGATATCGTGGAAAATACTATAAACGAAAAGACTGGGCGTGGTACTTGTTTATTTTATTTATTTCCAATCAATAATACATTTTATCTTAATAAATACATCTTTTTATACATATAGTTGTTAACGACTTGGAATCAAAGACATTGGACGAACTGGATGAGTTGGAAGATGAAGAAGATGAAAAGGTTTTGTTGGAATATCGACAGAAGAGGATAGCAGAACTAAAGGAACTGGCTAACAAAGCTAAATATGGAGAAGTGAAGGAAATTTCAGGAGAAGATTATGTTCAGGAAGTTAATAATGCTGGAGAAGATATTTGGGTCGTACTTCACTTATATAAAACTGGGTATGATTTTTAATATATACTTGGGAAGAATTGAATAGAAGAATTAATATTACGATTTTTGTTACAGCATCCCACTTTGCACATTAATTAATCAGTATTTGAGTAGCTTAGCAAGAAAGTTTCCTATGACAAAATTCTTGAAAAGCATATCTACTACATGTATTCCTAACTGGCCAGATAGTAATCTTCCTACAATTTTCATTTACCATAGTGGAAACATGGTAAAACAGTTTATTGGGCCCATAGAATTAAGAGGCATGAAGCTAACAGAAGCAGGTACATATTACCATAATTTTAATAATAAATGCATTTTATCTATAACAAAATTTTTCATATTGAAATGAATACTGACTACTATTTTATTACAGAATTAGAGTGGATGTTAGGTCAGGTGGAGGCTGTGCCAACAAAAATTACTGAAGACCCAAAACCAAAAGTTAGAGACGTATTGTTTTCTACGTTAAGGCCTCAAAAAGATGACTTGGAAGACAGTAACGATTGGTAATTTCATTTGTTAGGCACTTTGAGAAACCAAATCAATATTTAAATATCACAATGCACAGAGCATTTTATTTATTTTATCATTATTGTCACATGTACACACAAATGCACACATGCATACAAATGATTTTGTTATTTTAAAAATTTTATTACTACCTCTGGTCACTTTATTATTACAATAAAATATTTTATTATATTACTGATTTCTAAATTGATTTTGATATATTTTCACACCCTGTCATGAAACCATTGATATAAAATATGTACTTAAACTACTCTAAATAAAATTTAAGTATTTTAAATGAATTACATAAAATTCTCAGTTCCAATCACAATTATCAAAAATTTTATATTAAAAAGAATAACAAGTAAAATTTAACTTACGGAAATGCAGAGAACACACATTACAATTTTCTTCTGTTCTTCGCTTTATATCCTTCATTTTGTTTTTACTTCTTTGACACCCGTTGATGAACGTAAATAAACGGGGCGAAGGTTTGTCTAGTAAAAAGATCGAAGCTGTTAGTTTTTTAACAATAGAGCTAATCTCTGCATAACAACTTACTTAAATATTTCCGATCTCGAGATGATGTTTCTTAGAATTGTTTACGTTTGTGTTTCTCAAGGACTTCTCAAGTTTCGGCTCTCTTTATCTCGAGTATAGACCATAGTTTGTCCCTTCGTGCGGCTGCACAGTTCGATTTTCGACTCGTGCGTAGTCATATATCGAAGAATATATCGAAATAAAAGTTTTTAAATTTACACTAATACGATTTGTTTTAACAGAAAGTACATTCACGTAAGCCACATATACACAAAATTTCTTTACATCTGTTATATTATTTGCGCTATTTCGCTGCAATAAATGCTATAAAAATATTAAAGATATTCACGTTCGCGAATAATACATTAAGTGCCAGTGAAGTGCCATCAGTAAAGTTAGGTAAGTACGCGTGCGATAATATTTGAATTTCGAAACTACTTGTTTATTGACAGAAAATGTATTTTTATAATTATAATAATTAAATAATTAATTTCTAATAACATTTTCAATCTTATTTTTCATTGTATTTGTTTTACTATAATGTAATTTTACTTTTATAGCTACAATGAGTAATGCAAATTTAAATGAAAATTAATGAGAAAACAGTGTAATGTACAAAGTACATGTTAAACATGCCAAGAAAATATTTTTTACACTCAATTATCAGAATGATACTTGGAGTTTGTAAAGTGTTTTATTGAATATAAAACAACATGAAAACCAATATAGCCTTGAAAGAGTTAGCACATTAAAAAAAAAGTAATCTTCAACAAATAAATAATTTTTAAACTGGTTGCATACATCACAGCAATTTCAAATTGAGAAAAAATAATGTGTAACGAAATGTCTGCTAGGATGGTTCCTAATATATTAAAAAGAAATTCAAAAGTGAATAGAAAAGTTTGTCCTCAACTAAATGTAACAGATAGGAACTCAGCTTTTGCGAATGAGAATAAAAATTTCTTTCAAGAAAATAATTGTTTGAAGAAAGAAATTAAACATAAACGTCTAACGAATAGAAGGAAACAAGGACTTAGCTTAGTTAATATATGGCATGAACTTCCTAATTGGAATATTTGCTCTATTGTTGATGACAAAGAGAAAATGTCAAATAAAAATCTCTCTACATCAATGAAAGAAGATGTTAGCACAAATCAGAGAAAATTAAGACATTATACTAAAAAACAGGACAAACAAGATGAGGTGCCTATTTATAAAATTGAACAACACGAGAACCAATTTCCACAATCTCACAATGTATCACTAGATTTTTCTGATTTTGCTTCATCTTGTTTGCAAGAAGTAGAATCTGTAGATTTACATAATTCAATTGATTTTTCAAGTAATGAAATATTCAGTCAGTTTAATTATGAATTTTACGGTGAAAGTAATTCAAATGACTTAACGGAGAACTATGATTCTTTATCTTCAATAAATGAATCTTTAATGTCTTCTGAACACTCAAATAATGACACCTCACTTTTGGATGATAGACAATTGAACCAGTCTTGTGATTCTTATTGTAATTATTGTCTTGAAAATTGCGTTTCCAGTTGGATATTAGCTAGTGAGGCAAATAATAATACACTTCAGAAAGACAGAATGTTAACAGCAACATATAATCAAAATAAAATTGATTCACCTAATAATTGCAACTTAAATACAGACATGCATAATACATATTTGATGAATGAAACCTTAGGAGGAAATAACTGCGAGAGAACTACTTTATTAATAAATTACCTTGATAATATTGACCAACCATTAACAGAATTAATAAATTATAACAATGAATATGTCAGAGAGGAAGTATTTAAAGAAACTATAAGTTTTGATCAAAGACAAACATGTGATATTTTGACTGACTTTAATGATGCTGTGTTTGAATCTGATTTTGATGCATCTTTATTCGAATCTGAAAACCAAGGAACAAATAAATATTCAACAGATATACTGCAAGCTGCAGAAGACTTCGGATATAGTTTAAGTAATGAAAAGTAAGTGAATTGCATATGTTTATGCAGTTTGGAAAGAATTTTTTTTATAAACAGTTATAAGATGCTTCTTTAGTATTCCTAGTCACCCATATTCTAATTTAGAGATATAAATTTCTAAATCCTAGTGTCTCTAAGTTCTGAAGATCCTTGTACACTCGGCTGTTTTATACCTCCCAAATTCTGCTTCTATAATTTTACTAAAAGCATGAAATGCACTTGTAGATTTCAGTGTCCATTATGTTCACTAACATTTTCGAATGCTCGCACACTGGCAATGCACGAAGCGGCTGCACATGGAGGTAAATGCTAAAAGAAGAGTCACAAAAATTAAACTTCATTCGGTGTGTTTTTTATTGAATTTGCTTTTCAGGTACGTACGTAATACTTTGCGAAAGTTGCGGTAGGCTTTTCAATCGAAAATATCATTTCAATAGGCATTTTATTCATTGCGGTCGTTTCAAAGAACCGTACAGATGCGATATGTGCATAAAGGTGTACAGGTAAAAAACTGGACAAGCGTCTTCAGGATTACATCTTCAGTGTCCTAAAACTTTTGAAGTAATATTGATGCAAATTTCTTTTTAGGCACAAGTCATCTTTGGTTCATCATTTAAGAGAGACGCATCACGTTCATTATGCTCATCATCATAAAACCAAATTCACTTGCAGCGTCTGTAAAAAGGTTTACAGTAAATTTGGAGCTTTTGAAAATCACATTAAAAAGCATCAGAATACGTCTGATAAATTGTTACATTATTCTGATGATTTATGGGGAGGAAGGAGGGGTAGACGTTTAGTGTAAGTATTATAGTGTTCCTATCGTTTTCAAATCTAAAATAGCGCAAATTCAGTATTGTCGTATTATTATTTTATCATCAAACTTTAGTTTTCGTTTATCTTTAAATATTGACTTAAATGCAATTCAGTTACCAAAGATCTTAAGTTCCTATACTTGCATTAGCGCAATACTTTTTTCCTGATTATATTATTTTTAACATTATTTTAATATTATTTGTTAATTAGTATAAGATGAGAATACTTGTTAGAGATTATTTATGCGTTTCGAAAGCTTTGCGAGTTACAGTATTCTTTTTATATCAGCTGGACTTATATATATTTTATTTCGCTCTGTTCGTAAATTATATCTTGTTCTCACGTATGTTTTATTAATTTTGACAAATGTTTTAAACTTTATTTTTCTATTTGTATTTCGAGTGTAAGTAATACAGTGTTACTTAGAAAGTATCTTATTATTTGGACCAGACTATACTTTTGTTACAAAGTATGAATAACTTAATTTAAGTGAAAAATTGACCACAATTATTACCGAGTTTTTACTCAGGATGAATTTTCTTATATTTTTCAATTGTTACAACTGAATATTAACATTTGTTTCAACGAACAATGTAAGAATTATTTTCATCACTTATCTGAAATCTTCAAAATAAATGAAATTTAATTTACTTATCTAAAATCTTCCATGTCGCAATTATTGTATTTTTTTTTTTTTTTTATAAAAATAAAGACAAAATCGTAGCACTTAGCCCAATATCGTTCTCTAAAGATTATCTTTCGAAAAATCTTTAGAGATCGATATTGATTACCAGGTCACACCACGTGGAGGTGGCTACGATAGTGACCCACCCTAACTCCAAATCCCTTCCACCCTCCAAAAGCAATCTCATTTATCAGAAGGATAAATGAGTTCTGACTCTACTTAGCTCATAGGCTCGCATATACAAGTTCTTTACCACAATCCAGTAAAGAACTTGTATCACACACACACACACACATACATTAACTTAATACTAATCGTATGGGATCCCACACACGCACGCTTAACTTATTCTAAACGCCGCACGGTACCTCTCATTCTAAGATTGCACTCAAATAATCTATGACGAATTCAAAAAGCAAAGAGGAAGAAAAGAAAGTTAGAAGAACTTTCTACTAGAAGCTAAGAAAGTTAGAAGAACTTTCGCAAAGAAG